TCGATATACAATATTGTTTGACAAAAAAACAACGTTTCAAGTTTTAATATTGTACTTAGGGCAAACCAAAAGTTCGTAGAACGGTTTTAAAGAACCTTGTCGGATAAGATAACCTATTCAGAAATGAAAAACCAAATATACCATGTTGTAGAGCTTTTTAAGGCGCGTCGAATGGTATATAATAAATCCTGTTTTCATGAGACTTTGAAGAAACTAGAGTCAATTTACTGATAGACGATTACGCATCCATACTCACACCCTCACCTAAGTATGATAGGTTACTGAATATTGTGATCTTTGGGATTAGTCGAAAGTATTTGTAAAATATTTTTTCTCACATACGATTTTGCTGAGTTTTTGACGGGCTACAACCTCATATATGTAGTATCACCGGTCATCTTGTCAGTGTGGGTGTGTAGTCGCCTATCAGTAAATTGACTCTAGTTCCTTCAAAGTCTTATGAAAACAGGATTTACTATATACCATTCGACGCACCTCAAAAAGCTGTACAACATGGTATATTTGGTTTTTCATTTCTGGATAGGTTACCTTATCCGACAAGGTTCTTTAAAACTGTTCTACGAACTTTTGGTTTGCCCTAAGTATTTCATATCTCTTACTTTCTTGATCGGCAATTCGTTTTTTAATATCTTCATGATGTGATGAAAGAACTGCAAGTAATATTAATGATGATGAACGTATTTTCACAAGTATTGTTTCATCAATAATTTCATCAAAAATTTTATTTGGTGTAAATAAATAACTAAATAATTTACTTAATAATTGTTCTGTATACATTGCTATATGATGTAATGTACTATTACCATTTAATAGATAAATAAGTGTTTCAAGACATGCAATATACAAATAAATACATTTATTCATAATGGATTTTGTACATAAATGAATCAGTGTTGTTAATGCTTTATGAGATATATATGGATCATCACATGATAGCACCTTTGCTTTGCAAAGATTAACAAAAAATTTCGATGCATAATATGATATTATAACTGGTCGATTGATTGTATTTAATAAATTTGATATTATTTGACATAATGTCTGATTTGTATCAGTTGATATTGTAATTTGTAATCGTTGAGCAACATCAACATTTTCATAACATATTGAACAGAAAAATTTTAAACAAACTCCAGTCAGATATTCATTGGCTAGACTACAGAAAAAATAAGATTTGGAGATGATATTCTTTAAAAAAAATGACTATGTAAAAAATATGATGAAATGTTTTTTTTTTCGAATCTTATTTTAATAAGAAAAGGAAATTTTGTGTTAGAAATACTTAGTCTGTCGTTCTAACTAAAATAAATTTATTGCTTGTTCTTCTAACTCATAAATGTACTATTTAAAAATCTTTCTTACTTATTTAAATTGCTTTAAAATTCTCAGTCAGAATCAAACATCAAATTGTGATAGAACTTTATTAAGGGCCCCCTCCCTCAGGAGCGAACTTTTTTATTTTTTCATGGGTATTCAATCAAAATTTCAGAAAATCTTAGTCTTGGCTACAGTACATTATGGTTAAAATATCTTCTGAAATCTGTAAGATATTCATGAGTTATAGTCAATTTATTACTCAAAAATACCTTGTACACTGGCAAGGTTTTCACAATCAGAACACGAGCTAACATGGCGGAGCTGTTTTTAAGTTGTAGAGTACCCTTGGCGCTAGATTCGAATAGAGCCCGATTTTTGAAACTTCCTTTATTTGTTATATAAAAAATTTTCTTCGAAAAATTCTTGAATTCATGTTCAAAAAAAATCGCTAATAAAAATGCGATATGTAGGTTTTTTATTTCATCAATAGAGAAATTCAAAAATCGAGCTCTATTAGGATCTAGCCCTAACTGTCCTCTATGCAATAGAACAATAGTATCACTCCTATATTGAATAAGGTTTGCCGGCGCGCATACAGTATACTCGAAAAAACGAATTTTGAGAAAAACGGGAAAATAAGTTTTTAAAAATGTTATTTTTTTTCAATATGAAGGTTCAGAAAAACTTATGTAATATTCCTAAAGCTCGTGATAAAATCCATCAATTATAGTACATTCGAGAGTAGACACTTTGCTCTATCTAATGAGTTATAAATCACAAAATTGATGAATTTGACAAAAACTGATTTTACTTAAGAAAACTTATGTTCAATGCTAAACAGATCTCAAAATACAAATATCATCACCATAGTGATTCTTTTTTGACAAAAAAAAGTTAAACAGTATTATTCAACCATTGATATGCAACTTTGATTTAGAAATGTGTAGAATACACTAATTTGTTAAACAATAGAAAAAGAAAAGCATAGACATAGTTTAGCTATTCAAAATTTGAATTAAATATTGTTCAATTTATAAATATAAATGATTTGATATTAATAATAGATGATAATGATTTCATTCTCAATGTTTTATACAACGGAAGAGTAAAGTATATTCGAAATTGATGATCATTCTCGTTTTTGAGAATCTCAAATATTTTTATCGAAACAAAAAAAAAAAACTCACTATTTTCCTGTACTCTTTCTTTTCTCTTAGACATTGATCTATATCAAAAATTCTATTTTAACTCACTATAAAAATTCTTTTAATCTCTCATCTAATTTCTACTCCTCTATATACCTGAGTAGATTAATTTTGTTATTATAAAAAATATTTTCTACAAGTAGATGCATAATAAATTCAATAAAATCTTTTTCCACAATTTGATTTTGTCTTTCATTATTAACACATGAACAACATAAAATTTCTATAATTAATATTTGTATTGATTTTGATATTGTTAATAAACGATAAAATATATCAAGTGTTTGAGAATTTTCAAATAAAATATCTACCGGACAATAATTATCATTAAATAGAAAATTTTCTCTTTGTAATATACATGTTATTGTTTCATGTTTATTTTCATCACATAAAAGTATAAATGGTATTGAAGTTAAATATGAATTTGAAAAAAATTTTGAAAGAAAAAATGAACGTAAACAACGTAGACATGATTCATAAAAATGATTTGAATTAATTTGAATAGTTAATAAAATTAATATTTGTTCAATAAAACCAAGTTCAATAAGATGTTTTAATAAATTTTTATTATTTGATTTAGCAAATGATGATATAGAATCAAGAATTTCTATAAGAATATCAATATTTATTGATGATGAATATTCTTTAAGTAAATTATAAAGAATTTCAAGTAAACCAACATGATAAAAAGCTATTTTACATCGTTTTGAACCGATGATTAAATTTTTAAGCTTAAAAAAAAGAAAAAAAAAACACAAAAAGAAAATAATAATGATAAAAAAAATTTAAACATTAATTTTAATTAATTGATTTTTACTTCAATAAGAGTTTGAATTCGTTTTTGTGATTCAACATTATCAACAAGTTGTTTAAGTAGATATTCTTCTTGTTGAGTCGGTAAATCATCATCATACGATGGCATTATAAACTTGTTATTATATTATTTAAAATAAGAATCAATATTAATTACTAATATAACAAGTCAAAAAAAAAAAAAAAGTAGAAGATGAAGAACATCGACCTATGTGTGATTGGTTTTTTATAATAACAAATGAAAATTTATTTATTTATTCTCTATTAAGAATAAATTCATATGAATTTTCTTTTTTCTCTTACATTTATTTTATTCTATTAAATTTGAGATATAAAGAAAAAAAAATATTAGTTCATACATTTGAATATTTAGAATTTAAAACTTGAAAAAAAAACAAACAATTCGAATGCATTAATGAGTTATTTATTATCAATTCAATCTAAGATGTTGACTTATTTGTTTGTTGGTATAATATCAAAGAAATAATATATCAATTATCTTTTCTTTTTCTTCCATTGATACATGCGTAGAAAGGTTTTGTTTTTTTTTTTAAACGTCGCTATCCAAGTTCCGTTGCCTAGGCACAAGCTGTCTACTACTGGAGGGTGAGAAAACGAGACAGAGAGAAAAAAAAGCAAAAGAAGGAATAGAAGTGCCTTAGGGAAGTTCGATTCGCATTTGTTCTTTTTCTTTTTCTTATTTGTAACCCTTTCCTTCTTTCTTGTCGCTGTTCGGCACATTGTACTGTGCCCTATATGATGTCGACCACATGAATTACTCATCATATGCACACATCTATTTAACCGTTTTTCTTTTTTTTTCTTTTTTTTTCTGTCTCTCTCTCTCTCTTTGTTGTTTGTTCTTACATCCATATAGACATACTAGTTATAGCAACAATGATTCGAATGTTGTTAGTTTATTTTTCGTTCTCCTCCTTTATTTCGTAGAACTATCCATTCAATAGTAGTAGTTTCTATTTTTTGATGATGAATCATATTCTTCAAGGCTGAAGACAGGACAAAAAAAAAGTCATCATTCTTTCCCTCTCATTTTCTATTATAGGTCACAATTGCGCTGTCTTTTTATGTGTCGGGCATGTTTGGCAGCTCGTGTGGCGTTGACCAATCGAGTTCAATTGTTCTTCTCGTTATTTATTAACAGGTTTTCTTATTTTATTTTATTTTTTTGTTGTATTTAATAAAATTTAATATCATATATGTTTATCTTACTTTTATTTAAGATTCGTTATCACTTACTATTGTTAAAAATATTTTAAACGTGCTCGAAAAAAAATTAATTATGTGTGCTGTCATCGACATTCCTTTTTGATACCAACTCCTGTTGTACTTTTTTCATCATATATGTAAGAATTTTTAGAAAATATATGAAAAACTAATCTATTTATTTGTTTGTTTGTTTTTTTTTCTATATAGAATACACGACATTAAAATTCTTCAAATTAATTCGTTTCTCGTCTATTACAATATTTCAATAATTCACGTGTTTTGTTTTTTTTGTTCATTTTTTTCATCGCATTTGTTGATCACATCTAGACAATTCATCTTGTTATCATCATCATATATACATATTATTCACACATATCTATAGACAGTAGTTCAATTTTGTTTCTTTTTTTTACTACAATGACACAAGCAACAGTGAGTGAAAATTATATTTTTTCTTCTTTTTTTAAATTTTATTACTATTGATAGAATAACAAGAAATAGATAGATAGATAGATAGATATAAAAAGCAGGCTTACAATAAGGTTTTCTATTCTGTTCGTACAACCCCTATATAAACATATGCATTGTCTCATTTTTTGTTCTCTTTTTCGGATACGAATAGAGTTTTTTTTTTTTTTTTGTCAACACAATGTATTTATTGATGTTGATAATAATGACGCTGCTGTGTTATCATGAAAATCGCTGACAACGAATGGTTATCCTAAGTATTATAGATACTTCTATATAAGAACATTTTTCTCTTCCTCTTTACTAAATATATAGATATCATATGATAAGTTTCTATTAACTATGGATAATGATGAGATGGTCGAAGTTCATTTATATGGTTACAATACATATGTTACATCGGACTTGAACACAAAGGATATTGTATTTTGTGTACAAAATGCCAATATTGTTGGTGATATCGATAGTTATGGCCACTATGACCTTGTTAAAAGCAACGATATCTATATCCCATCATTGTTTCTAGTTGATCAGCAGGAGGCTGTTGTCTCCCATCCATATAATCATCATGTGAGAAGAAGAAAACGAGAAGACAAAGCTCTCTTGTCCTTCGAATAAGGGTATAGTTAGAGAAGAGGATGGATGGTAAAAAAGCAGACAGACAGAAAAAAAGAACAAGGATACACAAAAAGCGATGAGGCAGCAAAATGACGATGAAGAAAAAGGAAAAGAGACAAAGGCAACAAAATAATATTTGTTTGTTTTACATAATTTTTTTTGTTCAAGGTAAATGTCGGCAATAGTGCCGTCAAAAATCTCAATCCCAATGCTCAACAATTTTCATCGCGCGATTTTAACCACGGAACAGTACTAGCCGGATCAACGGTACCCAGTGGTATAATTTATATTTTAAATTCTATGAAGAATATAAACATAGTAAATTTTTTTATCGTATATAGATGATTCGTACACAGACTATCTTGATAGTAGCACGGGATCTTATCTTCCACAACATCAATCTCAAATTTTTTCGAGTAAGTTTTAATTGTTTTTTTTCTATTTACTTCCTATATATATATGTATATGTTGATAATTCAGGTTTTTATTATGAGGGTAAGAGATAGTATACGCATTTGTATGTATGTGTGGAAACATTGCGAAAAGAGGATAAAAAGAAAAAGAGAGCAGTCATTCAGTTACTTTTTCTTCTTTACCATGCTTCTTTTTCTCGGTTATGTGTCCCGCTACTCATTTCTCAATCTCTCTCTCGCGCGTTCTCCACACACGAACGCACGAGAATATGTAGCTTCTTCTCCTCCTGATTGCCAACACATACACTATTTGCTTTGAACAACACATATACACATTCTCTCTCTCTCTCTCTGTCTTTCATTCAATGAATTTATAAGGTGTATATTCATTAAAAATATTTTATTTTCATCTTTATTATTATTTTAGTCGATCCATCATCAATCGATCCTCTTCAACAACAACAACAACAACAGCATCAACAATCAGAATCAAATTTTGCCGTACATGAACATGCGGCTATGCTTGATACAATTGATCATCAACAAACATCACTTTTAAATCCAAATCATTTGCATCATCCTCAACAACATATAAATCAGACAATGCCAGGTAACAATAAACTAATAGTCAAAAAGAGAAAGAAAAAAAAAATGTGATGCAATCTTAACGACAGAGGTCATCGATCATCGCTCTTCATATATTAAGGCGTGTGTATGTGTGTATATATATATATACATATGCAATAAGCCTGTCAGCATACTCCTCTTCGTTATCACTTTGGTTCAATACAACAAAAAAAAAAGAAGAAGGGGGAAAGAAAAAAAATAGAAAGCATTTAATTGTTGTTGAACGGGAGCCAAAATGTGATGAACGGCTTATACATAGAGGATAACCGTCGTCGATTTGTGTTTGCGCGGACGAGAATGAGAGAGAAGAACAGAACATATACACACCGTCAGGTTTGAATTGCTAGCTACGTGCGCATACAAACACACATACACACATATCGAATTGTTTTGCTTCGTCGTTCTTTTTTCTTCTCTCTCTCTCTCTCGCTCTCTCTCTCTCGTGCCTATGTACATATGCGTATAACAATCGAAAGAGAACATTACAGCGCGTTAGAGAGAGAGAGAGAGATTGTGTCGGCACCATGTCTTCCTTCACTTGACGCAAGTCTTTTTTTTTGTCTATGTGCAAGCATATAAGAAATAACAACAATAAAGATGATCTATGAACGACGACGTGTCGTTAATCAACAATCAGGTTTTTAAGAATTAATAAATTCTTTTATTTTTTCTTTTTTATTGTTCTTCTTTTTGTTTATTAAAATAATTTTGTTTAGATGAAGAACAAACTCATCAAATACAATCGGTATCAGAACAATTACGACAACATTTAAGAAAACAACTTGAATATTATTTCTCAAGAGAAAATATGATTCATGATACATATTTACAATCACAAATGGATGCTGATGATTATGTACCAATAGCTATAATTGCAAATTTTAAACTTGTTAAACGTTTAACACATGATTTACAATTAATTATTGATGTTCTTAAAGGTATTCAAAAACTAAAAATAAACATTTAAATTTATTTATGTTTTTTCTTCTTTTCTTTCTAGAATTACCATCTGTTGAAGTTGATGCTGAAGAAAAAAAAGTTCGTTCAGCTGATGAAAAAAAATATCGTTTAACACGTAAACGTTGTATTATTATTTTACGTGATGTACCATTAGATGCAACTGAAACTGAAGTATCAGATTTATTTTTAAATGAACATTGTCCTGTACCAGCAGTTGCTTGTGAAAGAGTTTTAGAATCAGGTAATTCAGATTGTTGGTATGTTACATTTAATAGTGAAGATGATGCACAAAATGCATTTTTATATTTAACACGAGAAAATGTTTCAATACGTGGTCATAAAGTTTTGGTAAGAATAGAAAAAAAAAGTTTTTTTTTTCTTGAAATAAAAAAAAAAACATTTTTTTACTTTTCAAAGGCTCGAATGAAAACACGTCTATGGCAAAAACCATCATCTGTACCAAGTACAAATCCAACAACACCTATTTCACCACCAATGACAACAAATAGTAGCGGTGCAACAAGTCCACCACTACCACCACCACCACAACAACAACAACAACAACAACAACAAACTATTCAAGCATATCAAAATTCAACATTTGTTCCACAACAACAAGTTCCACCTCCACCACCACAATATTCATCTCATCCACAACAACAATTTAATCAACAACAAATATCACAACAACAACAACAGCAACAACAACAACAACATCCTTCTGTTTATATGTCAACAACAGCTAATACTCATCCAAATCAAACATCAATACTTGGAAATATTCAATCACAAACAAGTAATTATCGTCATCCAATGCATTCATCTGTTGGTCCACCACCTCCACCACAACATGTTGCTGCTCAATATTCTACAACAAATCCAACACAACATCCAACATCAATTGATGCACAAGTATTACAACAATTACGTATGAGTTATCCAAGTTATGGTGCTAATCCACAATTTGATCGTGCTACATGGGCAACGGCACATCCACAAAGTGTACAAACAACACAACCAACACTTTCATTTGCTACAACAGCTCAGCAAACGAATATGGCTCAATATACAGCATCAATACATCAACAACCACAATTTATTACTGCAAATGTAAGTAGAAATATAAATGTCAAAAACATAACTAGAAATAAAATATTTTGACATTTTTAAGTTTAAATTAAAGTTAAATAAATAAATTTATTTTTTATTTTAGCATCCTGTATTTCCAGGAAATTTATGGTATATGTCATCTGGATATCAAACAGCTGAAGGCTATCCAACAATGGTATGTTAGAATTATACATACATATTTTTATATATATATTTATATATAATCGAAGTTATGAGATAAAGAAATTAAATTGATAACAAAAAGGGACTCATCTTTTTTTTATAGATTGTACCTCTCAATTCTTTAATCAGAGTAGGAAAAGTTTCTATTATTATTATTTCTTTATTTCTCTTGTGGATGCTTTGATGTGCGTGCATACCCAACCATGTTTTTTTTTTATTGCCAAGTTCGGATTTATTCTTGAGTATTAATTCATTGCAAAAATTAGTAAAAAATTCAAGAGATCCTCTTTTTCTACTTGTTTTCACTATATGTATTTGCATGAACTATGTACATAATTATTATTAAGCACGAGGATCTCTTTTTAAGTTATATTTGAGAACTAGAAATTGAGCAAGTTCAAGAAAGAATATTTGATGATAATAGCATGAAGCTTCGGTTATTATTTTTTTTTTTTGTTTCTTTTACGCTCGTTGAGAATAGTTGATATATATTCTCTTATGATTACTTATGTTTATTTTCTAGGCTTATAATGGTGCCAATAAACCAAAAACTCGAATGCCACGTGAATATCCACTAACATCTAAACCACGGTAAATAATTATTAAAGAAAATATTCTTATTAACTTGTAAAATTTCTAGTAATTCAATGAAACCACCTGGTACTCGTAGTTCTCGTCATGAAGGACTTCAAATAAATAATGAACATCCAAATGAATTACTTGATTATTGTCAACACAGTACTCCACAGTTCGTTTTATTTCAACTAAATTTTTTTTCCATTTTATCATTCAATATGTGCAACTTTTTTCTTCTAGTTCCGAAGATAGTAGTTCACCAGTCCCTCGTGCCGAAGTAGTCATTAATCGTATAAATGAACCCATAGCCCAACCAGTATCAAATACTTCGTTACAACATGTTCAAGCATATCCAACAAGTACAATTGATACATCCGCTAATGAACCTATTGATCATTATCATCATCAATCACCAAATGATGTGTAAAAAAAAAAACAAAATTAACTCAATCGAAATAAAAATCTATTCGTTTACTTATTTATTTTAGTTTATATACTACTGCGAACAGTCATATCTCACAACAAGGATCATCTGATACAAATCCATCTCAAGAACAAACAAATGATTCACAAAATTTAGGCAATTTTTCAATTCAATCTTCTTATCCAACAGTAAGAAATTTTGTTATTATTTTTTTTCTCAAAACTTTTTCTTTTTTTTTGTTTTTAGTCGACAACAATTGAAAATTCCAATTTAAATTATCAACCATTAGAACAACGAAAACTACCATTAACTAATCAAGATCAACAACAACAACAACAACAACATCCTCAAATAAATGAAAACCAACAACAACAACAACAATCAAATAAAAAACTAAATCAACAACAAACATCAATCCGTCCATTAATGTCACGTGAAAATCGATCAACACAAAATTCCAATCGTCCATCATCATCACAACAAGGACGATCTCAACAACACCAACAACAACAACAACAACAACAAACACGAATTAATTCAAATTCATCAACACCATTAAGTGTCACTATTCCTAAAGTATCATCAGCAACATATTACAATCAAACATCATCATCATCACCACAATCACCTAATTCAAATCAAAAGTAAATTAATTTCAAAAAAAAAATCGTATCATTTATATATTTATTAATTTATAGAAATCAACAGCAACAACAACAACAACAACAACAGCAACCTAATGATAATAATGGTCCACGTACATATGCTGATATGCTTAAAACAAAACAAGCACCCCAACAACAATCAACAGAATCAACAAAATCTCCTACAAATGAAACAAATGATATAACATCACCACGTGCTCAATCACCGATAACTAATACTACGAATTCAAAAACTGATTCCGTATCGATTAATACAGAAACTAATGGTCCATTGTCACCATCGTTATCTGATATATCACCATCAAATCAAATCGAACCACCTACGAATTCTCAATCATCAACAATAAATGATGCTTCAAATTCTATTCGTCGTAATAGTTCAGCATCCGATCAACCTCAACAACAACAACAACAACAACAACAACAGCCACAACAACAACAACAACAACAACAACAACAACAACATCAGCAACAACATACATCATCACCATCACATCAACAGTATAGTAATTCACGTGGTCGTGGTCGTGGAGGAAATTATCGTTATTCACATGAACGTCGTTCTGGTTCAAGTAATAGTTTAAATCGTGGAGGAGGCGGTGGAGGTGGCAGTAATCGTGGTGGAGGACGTCGTACAGTAAATAATAATGCTGGTCCACCAACATATCAATCGCGTGGTAGTGGTGGACGTGGTACTGGTAGATATTTTGATCGGTCACGAGGAGGAGGTGGTAACTATCACAATAGTAATCAAACGGTGCATCGTTTCACCGGCAACACAGGCAATGTTGAATCACAGGTTCACTATGCCGAATAGAAAAAAAATACACAAAATGAAAAAAGACATGATTTATTTCTTCTCGAGTTGTTCGTCTTTCGTTGCTTATTTATTTGTAGTTCTTTGTCTGTTATAAAATGAACCCAAGAAAAAAAAAGAGAAAAAAAATTAACAAAAAAAAAAAAGAATAAAAAATGTCAGAAAAAAAACAAATAAAAGAAAACGTTGTGTGTGTGTGTGTGTTTGTTTGTTTGTTCCACTCTTTCATTTCTCGTATCGTCTACTTTTTTGTAACGATTTAAAAAAAACCAAAAAAAATGTTTTGTTTTTTTGTTCTCATCCTATTCTGTATGTTTCTGTGTGTTTGGTGCTCTTGATTTCTCTTTTTGCTTTTTTTTCTCTTCGTTTTGTCTTCCGGAGATATAAAGAATTTTTCTTTTTTGTCTTTGTCATTTGTTTCTTTTTTTTTTTTCGTTTTTGGATTTAACCGCTCAACCCATTTCGGACTCGCACACAAGAAAACAAAAAAAAAACATTGTAGTCTCCCGGTGTGTGCTTTTTTTTTCTTCTTTCGTTCGTTCTTTCTTTTCAAAACAATATCCATCTTAAATGTTCCTTTTGTTTTTCTTTTCTTTTGTCAACTTGTGTCTGCTTTGTCCATCTTTTGGTTCTCGTTTTTCTTTTTCTTTTTCTTCTTCTTTTCTTGTTTGTTCAGTTGACCGATTTGTGTGTATGCGTCGAAAGTTCGTTTTTTTCTTTTTTTTTGTTTTGGCTTGTTTGTGTTCAGAAAATTATGATGGTGATGATGAAAGATCAAGAGATATTGAGTGTGTGTGTGAGAGAGAGGGAGAAAAGAAAAAAAAAAAAACGGAAAGATCGATTTTTTTATACAACTAATAAAAGATTTATGACTTCCTCTCTCGCGGAAAATGTTTCGTATTTCGTTCGATTGCTTCAATGGCAAGTCGTACACGATTTATTGATGGAGATTTTGTTGTATTAATTGTTGATTGAGATAGTTTGGAATTTTCAATTGATTGATGAGTAGAAGATGACGTCTGAATATAACGATATTTGTTTTTTTCTAGTGACAGTAGTAACTTTTGTTATCTGACAGAAAGAAAAGAAATTTTGCTGTTCTAACTTATCGACACAGTCAGAAATAGCTATTTAGATAGAACAGATATCATTCGTTCTTGTAGACACTGAAGGAATAACAGATGTTCTGAGTGTTGAGATAGAAGAAAAGGCGATAAATGACGTCAAAAGAATTATTTTTTGCGTAAAAAGAGTATTTCGCATAATAGAATATTCTGTTGGCAAAAAAACAGTATGTTAATATAGCCACGTCACGAGTGAAATGTGGAAGTCACATATTCTATATATAATCTAGTATACCTAATTGAGTATAATTTAATTAGGGGAAGCCTTTCCCCTCGAAATATCGAATTGACAACTTAGCAACAAGCGGCTGAAGCTAGTTTCATTTTCCTCTCTTTCTTGTCACTACTTTTAGCACTCCGAGGATGAAAGCACTCTCTATGAGAATTTTTCAATTAATCGCATGGTTTGAAATATTTACAAATAGATGTTGAAGCAGTAACCCACAATAAACAAAAAAGATTGTCTCACTTTTATTATTTGTATACATATTAGTACCTTAATTTCATACTCTTTTCTTTACTTGCTTCTCTCTCTTTCACATTGAAATTTCAATCAATGTTGTTTGCAAAACTTACACTCACTATTTTGGTCAAAAATATGAAAAAAAAAAAGAATAATTCAATCGAAAGAATAATATTACAAATCAATTTCATTTTCGTACTTCGACATTTCATGTTTGATTATTCTTTAACGCATAAGTTATTTTAAAGTAACTTAATGAATGATTTGTTTAGTTTAATAGATAAATTTTCATTTAGATTTTAGTATGAATCTCCAACAAACTTAAGTTTTCTAGATTTGTCTTGGCTACATGGAATACTATTAATCTGAATAATAAAATTCTAATAGAATTATTGAATAAAGATCCGAATGAAGATATAGAGCAAAATTTTAATTTGAACAGTTTTTAATTTTTTATCGAATAATTGTCTCTCCAAGAATCTTTTTATTTTGAGAAATCGTACAAATTCATTGTGTACATATTCAAAATATTATCAAAAAATTTCTGAAAATCAAGAAGAAATAACTAGTAATAAGTGATATCAATCTTTTTTCATTCTGCCCTGGCCTAAAGAAAAAATTTGATTTCAGTCTTGATCATATTTATAAGTGACACTCGGCTAGATTATATTTTTCAGTTGATATTTTTGTCTCAATATTGTTTTCTAATCATTCTCTCAATTATTTTAAATTAACTTTCTTTTTGTGAAATTTAATTCAATTTGATCAGGATTTTGTTGACTTACAGATATATTTTCTTGTTTTTTTGCTATTGTAAATGACCAACTTAAGTTAGATTCATATGCATATTTATCTTGACTATCATTTGAACAATTATCTATTGCTTTAATTTCAATATCAGATGAAGTTTGTTCAACATGTTTATTTTCATTTTCAAATGTTAATAAATGATTATTTTTTTCATTTTGTTGATGTTCATCAGGTAACCATGTAATATGAAATTTATTTTTTTCTTTCCATTCCTTAATATTATGATCAATATTTATTGTTGAATTAATCATATTATTATTTTCTAATGAAATAATTGATGAAAATAATTGAATACTTTCAAGAAATACTTTTATATGTTTATATTCAATTGAATCCATTTGTAAACAATATTGTTGATAATTTATTTGAAATATTGAAAAATCATTTCGAAATTTTTTTATTAAATTATTTTTATATGAATTTATATTTGAATGTTGTACAAAAAACTTATTAAATAAATCAAATTTTTTTCTATAATATTTTAATTGAGAATGAATAGATTTTATTGAATTAGTCTTTAACCAAATTGAACATTTTATTATTAAACATTCAAATTTATTTAAAAATATTCTTAAATTTTCTAAACGATTATTGAATTGTCTTGTTAGCTGTGATAAATATGAATATATTTGATTTGATATTGTATTAGAATGTATAAGATATTTATTTAGATTTGATGATATTCTTTCTAAATGTTCATATTCATCTAGGAATATATTCTCAAAAATTAAACAATTTCTACGTATTAATTTTATTGTTTGAATCGATAAATTAAAGCGTTCGATAAGACGTAAGGGATGTGGTACTAGACAACATCGACAAGAGGACATTGAAAAAAAACTAATTAAATATAACTTAAGATTAAAACAATGCGCGCAATATTAAGAATAATGTTTATTTTCGAGATCTTTTGAGTTATTTTGCTTATTTGAATATCAAAACCACTTTTTTATGACTTCAGTTCTATGTATTCTATAGATAAGGCAAAAACAAATATTTGAATCAATGTAAAAGACAAAAGAATGAAAAGTCACGATTATCTTTTTTCAAAAAGGTGAAAGCGAAATTAAGCAAAATATTTTTTATTGGATGTCAAAAAAACTTTTTATGTGTATCAAACTTTTAATTCTGTAAAAGAAAAATAATTCTCTCTAGTTTCGTAACGATTGGTGGCATTTTCAAATTTTGTTAATACACCCAATTGAAGTTTGAATCAGGTTAGTCTCTTTAATTATATGTAAGACTGATGGAGATCTTAAATGTTATAAAAATAATTTTTCTTATAACAGAAGCCGAGAAAAAATGCTTTTCTGAGGATGAATTTTACTCTGACAAATTTTGTAGTTATTGCATTAAAAACTATCTGATCACCTGTTGAAAGAATGTGTTTGCTATACTTTAGTATTTGAACCTTTTTTCTGAAAGAGAAGGTTCTGAGTACAATATATAGATATGCCTTGAGACCAAGGACACATTTTTTTTTCGCTTGACACTTAGACTAAAGTTCTTTTGAACAGAGACCGGGATCGAAATTTAGTTTTGAGACCAGGAACCAGCATTAAATATTTTTTGACAGAACACTACGGAAATTTTTTACGAGGGGGGGACGTCGCTAGCACCGACACTATTTCATTAACAGCAATATTTTTTATGGTCTAGTAAAACTTGCAGTCGAATATCATATTATCACAACTCATATGTTCTAAATAGATATCGATCCCAGTACCAATGTGATTGAAATCGGAACCTAAAATGACTAGTTCCATTCATGTTTACAACACGTGATTCCGCTAATCTCTTAATCACTTGTATTTATCTTAGTTTTCGATTAATACACCTTTAGTTGAGATTTTATTATCATTTTTTATATTATGCACTAATATAACCTTGATCAGTGTAAATCGTAATGAATAAAAACAATCAAAAAAGTTTGTCCTTATAAACTCTTCAACAAATACTGATTCATAATAATAATAATAACAACATCTTCTGTATGTATAATATCTATAATTGAAAATTGCTAGTTGATTAAATATATCTAAGATTATTGATAATGTTTGTTCTTTTTTTTTTATCTATCTTCTATTTTATTGTATCTTGAAAATCAAATATTCTTATCTTAAAAAATAACGATGACAACCATCAAGAGCATAGATTTTTCTATTGTTTTGATAAGAAATAATGAATGATGTAATATATTCTATTCATCTCTTGGGTACATCGACACTTGATGTTCAAGATCAAGACAACGCAATCGTGAATATAAAAAATATTTCTTTTGTTTCAAAACGATGTCACTGGTTGTTAAGTGTTGCTTAGGATTTTATTGGTTAATATAATTCATCAAATCGGAATATATTTTGAAAGTAAATTTCTTATAATACTCTTTCACTATTTTTTTATTTTGTGATAATGGATACAATTATATCTTCATCGAATCAATCAGCTTTATTTAGTAAAAATATTTATTTAAGAATAATAACAAATACTAAAACAGATGAAAAGTAACTTCAGTTATTTAAATTCAAAGAAATAATAATAAAATAATTTATTTAGATGTCGAAATGTTCATGTAACAGTTGAATTTCAAATAGCTAATTCAT